TTAACTGAAAATACTCAAGAAAAGCATCTGGGTGCCTTTTGTGGACAGTTTGATGAATTTCTGCTCAGTGTTCAGCTGCAGTTTAAAAAAAAAAGGATGCATGAGGATTGAATTGGAGAAAAATAGAGAAAATGTAGATGGGATACCTTTATCTAGAATACTGCTCACCTCGAAATCGAAAGGGCCGTTGCAGAATTAAAGAGCTCACAGAAGAGTAGTGAGAATGAGTGGTGCTTTGAAAAACTCATGTAGAGTATGAAAAGAATGAGATCGTTTATCTTAGTAAGAGAGAAAAGAAGTAAGACGTGATAGTTAGATAAAACAGTGGTTTAGAGAGGATGGTGTGAAAGCTTCCTTTCTCCCTGCTTCATAATACAAGATCAAGAAAATGAAGCTCAAATGTGACGACATTGAAAACTGATAAAAGGAAATATATTTTCAGTAAATAATTAGACTCTGGAACTCTCTGCCACAGAATATCACTAATGCCAAGAGTTTTAGCAACATCCAAAAAAGGATTGAACATTTATATGGATGACAAAAATATTCATACCTGTCAGCCAATTATGATTTAAAAAGTGGGAAGGATATGAAACCTCTTATTGCGGGTTTAAACAGATTTCTAACAGGGATCAGGATGAGACTTTCATGGTGACCAGATTATCCCATATCTGTTTACTGCATAATTTCTTGCACTTTCTGTAAAAATTTGTATCAGAGACAGGATACTGGATCTGAAGTCTGATCCACTATAATAGTTGCGCTATTCCTGTTTTGTCCAGTTGGTACTGGTTCAGCTGTCTGATGGTTTATGGAAATGGGAAATGCCAGTCTCATTTGGAGATGTTCCCCTCCCTATTGTGTACAGGAGAGAATCAGGCAAGTAGCCCATTAAGATGAGACCCCAGGATATTCTTTCTTGAATCATCTTTACGATCTGACCTTGGAAATGCTTGGTACTTACTTGCATATGTCTGCTGTGGATCAGCAATTGACAAGAAATGGGGACAGAGATAGAGATTTTATACCCTAATTGAGTCTGAATCATTGTCTGTTTTGTTAAATAACATCTCTGTTAAGGAAGTTCCATCTTTGTTGCTGGTATTCCTAGGATACATGCTCTGCAGATGACAGGGATTTGAAATAGAGAAATTGAAACTGTGAGCCAAAATAAATCCATCTTGCATTCAAGTTAGTTTTGTAAGAATTATCCCTCATGAGACTTTTTTTTTTTGCGGGGGGGGGGGGGGAGATGGGGAGAGAGGAATTGGTTCTCCCATTTCTTTAGTAGTTTCTTGCAATACTGTTTTAGAAGCTTGAAATATTTGTGGTATTAATCTGTTCCTAGTGCTTCTGGAGAGGCAGTAGTAAAGTGTTTTTGTGGGCGGCAGAACGTCCTTTGAGGAGGATATTGTTGGCATATACTATATCGTACTACTTTTCAAATGTAGTGGATTATGCCAACCCAGTAGCTGTGTGCTGCTGTTCTGCAATATTGTATCAAACTAGTACTACTTGCCATTATACCACACTTTTCACTTTCAAAGACCGTTAGAAATATGTTTTGCAAAGTCCCTGTGAGACAATTATCCTCATTTTACAGATAGGGAAACTGAGGCATGGAGAGCTGTTCAGAGTTGCCAAGTATCCGTCAAAGCCAATATCTGAAGGCAACATTTTCTCATACACACTCTAATGTTCAGCCCACATCCCTAATGTTCAGTCTCCCTAGATTGAAAAAAGCTGGGTGCTGACGAGGCTTCATTCTTCACCTTTGAAAATTAAGGTGCCTTTTATTTTTGAACTGCAAGGCTCTGGATGACTTGATGATATTAGGTAGCTTGTAGAGGAAGAGAGAGAGAAGACTGGCACGCAACCAAAAGGATAACAGCACAACACAGCAGCATGAGGACGGAGAATCCATCGAGGCTCTGACAGTGAGAGAAGACACTTTAGCAAAGAAATTGGCATTCAGTACAACTGGTTTCAAAACTGGATTGGAACTTGGGCTCTTTTCCCAGTTCAGTCACAGGGTTGGTGGTGGTAATGTTGTCAAAATTTTCAAAAATAACTTCTGATCTTGAGTACCTTGGTACTGATCTGAGGAAGTGGGTCTGGCCCACGAAAGCTCATCACCTAATAAACCATCTTGTTAGTCTTTAAAGTGCTGCATAGTCCTCTCTTTGGTGTTTTGGTCCCCAACCTGAGACACCATGGACACATGCTCAGCAGTCACAACTATAAAGTCAAAGGAGGCTGAGGATAGTCAATGCCTTTGAAAATCAGATGCTAGGTATTTCCAGATGGGCATCTAAAACCAGACACTGATTTAGAAAATTTAGTTTTATTCTGTCTCATTAGTAAAATAGGAATCTTCCTTCACCAGAAGTGAGTTGCAAGCATAAATTACTAATCTATGAGTTGAACTCAGATATGCTGATAAATTCTGTAAGTGTGGGACCACTTGACCCATGAGGAGAGACTGAGGGATTTGGGCTTATTTAGTTTGCAGAAGAGAAGAGTGAGGGGGGGGATTTGATAGCAGCCTTCAACTTCCTGAAGGGCGGTTCCAAAGAGGATGGAGAGAGGCTGTTCAGTAGTGAGGGATGGCGGAACAAGGAGCAATGGTGGTTACAGTGGGGGAGGTCTAGGTTGGATATTAGGAAAAACTATTTCACTGGGAGGGTGGTGTAGCACTGGGATGGGTTACCCAGAGAGGTGATGGAATCTCCATCCCTAGAGATGTTTTAAGTCCCAGCTTGACAAAGCCCTGGCTGGTTGATTTAGTTGGGGTTGGTCCTGCTTTGGGTAAGGAGCTGGACTCGATGACCTCCTGAGGTCTCTTCCAGCCCTGGGATTCTATGATACTATGATGGCTCTCATTGAATGTCTATGATACAAAACCACACTGAGTTTAAAGTTGTTGATACCAATATTTATTGTGACGATATCCTGAAAACAGATGAAAATGTGAAGTGTTTACTGATATTGAAACCCCACTAATCTACAGCATAATGCTGCTCCCCTGCCCTCCTGGGTGACATACAATTCGGCCACTTCAAGGGAGTTGTTAACACAGTGCATTCTTTCCTTCTCCTTGGCAGGTTACGTGTTCTGTATGTTACATCGCCTGCCTGAACAACATGACTGCACATTTGACCACATGGGACGTGGGCGCGAAGAAGCCATTATGAAAATGGTGAAACTGGACCGGAAAGTAGGGAGATCATGCCAGCGCATCGGCGAAGGGTGTTCCTGAGTGCAAGACTCTGCAACCAAATGCTGTTCTTAGTTCACTAATGTTAGCCTTATTTAGGACAAAGTCAGCCAGACACCTTGTACTGGGCAAGTTTCAGACTACAGCCAATCAGTTTCCTTTCTTTAGCCAACCGTCCTGGTACTGTAGTTTAGGGATTGATGGTGGTTGAAATTGATTTTTGGCTGGTTATGAAGGTGCCTGCTAGCCAATGTATAAAATTAAAACATGAAGAGAAAAATATTTCGAGCATGGCTAGTGGATTTAAAACACAACAAAACAAAAAATCCAGAGGTTTCTATTGTTGCTGGAGTCTAAAAGCCTTATGCTGGAAACCTTCCAGCTACAGAGTTAAAATAGAAGCCGGTGTGAAAGTTTGTTATGCACACGGCTTTCAGACAAACTGTGTTTAATGTGCAGCCTTTCACCTCTTCATTTCTAGCTAATCCTGAAGAAGTGAAACTCCACTAAGAGCAGTCATGGTAGCCGCGATGCCCAGAGGACCTGACTTGTCACCCGTGCCTTCTTCACGCGTGGCTTTTGAGGTTAGGCAATGTCACCAGCATCAGGGATTCTGTTGGGGAGGGAACATCTTTCTGGTTCTTCCCAGGAAGCCAAAAAGAAAGGAGGGCAGATTCTTACAAAAACATTTATATCTAACTTGCTGCAGAGAACCTGTTTTTCTTCATTTAAATTAGTGATCTCGCTTCAAAGCTGGATCCATCTTAGAGCAGTAAACAGCATACATTCTCTACATGGCATCCACAGAATTTCTAAACGTTGTCTGACTAGATTCCACATTTGTTTTGTTTGCTGACCAGTGCTGCCATTCCCACCAGCCGAAATCTGATTGGCTCTGGTTTGCATTTTGCTAAGTGCAGGTATCTGATGATTGATCAAATAAGGCTAATTCACAGCACAGTAGCCAAGGCTGGATTCTACAGACTGACTTTCTGTAGTAGACTTATATATTGGGGTGGGGGGAGGACATTTTGTAGCAAACGGAATTCAGTAACAGTATTGGGGAACAACCAGGAAAGCATCCCTCATCAGCTTGAGTTTTACTCCTCGCTTCCAGAGTGTTAACAAGATAATCAAATGGGCTATGTCAGCCTTGTTTCTATGCAGCTCGATGCTCTCATGAAAATCTCTGCCCGCATATATTGCAAAGCAGGTGTAGCAAGTGAATGTGAAATGCATTACATGGAATAGAACATTTTGGATCTGTGGTTTAGGCATATGTGCTCTTTCACCCGGAGCCACATAGAACTGAACATCACAGATTTTAAAAAAGGAAAAATCAGCATGTGTCCTGCTACAGTTTTATGCAGGTCAAGAAGATTCATGTTGATTTGGCTCAGTCATCCTATATGGATATGGTTCCCTGATCAGAGTTAGGAAAGCATTAACAATCAGGTAGTTTAGTAGGAAAACTGGGAGGGGGGAGGATTTTATATAGTTTTGAAAAATTGGGCTTGTGGAAGACTTCCACGGGGCGAAATAGCATCTTGCCACGCCAAAAGAGATGCGTGTGAGGGGGAGAGCTTAAATAAGTCACCCTCTGTTCCGTATGTGTGAAAGATAAATAATTTCATACAGGCCAAATTAATTAATTTTTAGTTTGGTAGCCAGATAAAAATTGTCTCGTTAGATGGTTCTCTTAAAATACACTTGGCATCAGACTGTATTAGTGTGAATTAACCATGAAGTAAATCAAATGTTCCAATGCAAGCTATGTAACCCAGGCTATTTATTATTCATGATTTTGGAATCAGCAACGAAATTTCCAGCTATATTTTTCAGGAGATAGTCCCGCTCCATCCTCGTGACAGGGCAGTCTGAGGATATTCTTAACATTTGCCACGGAGAGTTTAAAAGCATGGATTTCAGCTGTTGCTGAGATACGCACTTTCTTTTCCTTTAAAATTCTAGCATAGTCGTTGGTGGACATTCTGATTGACACACAACACAAGACTCAGCCGCATTAATACTGATTCTATTTGGCCCTCCTACTCCTCTCTTTAACCCTGTTATAAAGGCACAGTTGGTTTGAAGTGGCTCTTAAGAGAACACTACTCAAAGTTCATGTGGATTATGGGCAATATTCACTTTTTTAAAAAGTGGGGGGAGGGGTTGTTCCTTTGCAGTATCTGTTCTGTGAAGTTTGTTAAACGTAAAGAAAGCTTAAGTTCTTGTATCTTTAAAGAAAATCTTATTTAACCCTTTTGTGTTCTAGATTTACTTACACATGTAGCCTAGAGCTCAGTTTTAGTTTAACATTGTGAAAATATTAAAAGAATCTTGTAACTTTATTCTTTTTCCTCCTGCTAAAACAAAATTAAACCAATCAGACTAAAAGTTTGAATTCCTCTCTGACTATTCCAGCAGGTCATGTTGATCTGCACTGTTTCTGCTGTTTATGAAATGTGAATGGGGGAAACTTCAGCACTGGGCCAGTGATTTCAAATTGTGTTTAAAGTTGTTGGGGAAAGGGCAGTATTTGCTGCCAGTCATTGGAGCTAGCACTTCTGCAGAGTTCACGTTTAGTAATTTCTTTTGTAAGCAAATACAGTTAAATCTACTGTAACCTCATTATTGGGAAATAAAGTTTTGTGAGGTTAGTCACTTTTAGCAAACAAGTTTCTTTGCTCTTAAGTCCCATGCATATGGTGCTGCACTGTTATAGTGGTATGAGAAGTACGGAAATGTCCTCTAAAGTAAATGTTTTTGACAGCTTCTTCACTTGCAGTAGCTGTACTCTGAATGTAAAGTTCCATAGTTAGGACATGTTCGTAATTGGTAATTAGGCACTAAAGTTAATAGATTGGATCTTGCAATGACTAAAATATGGAACCAGTTGAGCAACAATGGAATGTGTTGAACAAAGAGGCAAAGTCAAACTGGTACTATCAACGTTTATTTTAAATTCAGTTTGGAATGAAATTATGCCTACATCATGGGACATGTACCCCTATTTTTCCCCTCAAATGAACTATACTTTCAAAGATGATTGTGTTTTGTGGTTCTTGCACACCACTTCAGTAATATAGCAAGGTTAATCACAATTAGAGCTATCCCACCTGCTATCAACATACTTCCAAGGAGTGAACCAAGGCTTCAGAAAAGGGGAGATCTCAAGGCAGGCCTATGCTGGGGGGCAATGTCGAACTAAGCTATGGAACTCCAGTTACAAGAATAGTGTAGCTGGAGTCAAAGGTACCTTAGAAAGCGTTGCCGTAGTGTCTCCACTGGAGAAACTCTCCCATCAACTTCCCTTACCTTTCTTGATCCAGTGGAGACTGGAGTTGATGAGAGCAAAATCAGTGATCCATTTAATGAGTCTTTACTAGACCTGCTAAGTCAACTCCCAGGAAGGGGATCGACACCCTCCCTTCCCCCAATGCCGATATCCCAGTAAGTAAAGACAAGGCCTCAACTAGGATGAGCAGAGACCTACCTCCAAAATCCTTTCTAACTCTGTATCTGCTATTATCTTGCAACGATTATACTTCAGTCTGAAGGTGTAACATTCCCTGGTGCTGTAGCCTCAGAGCTGGTAAAGATTCAGTTTTAATTTTTCTGGTGACATGATTTATGTGAATGTTTTCTAGTGAAAAGTTTGTCAGTTTTTGACCACCCTCTAAACCCCAATCCCCTGAACCATATTTTGATTTTGTGCTGAATTAAGTTTATTTGTGGTACAATCATCTCGTATACTTTTGTTCTGTTCCTATGTTAATTTTTTCCTCTTGATGATGTACTCCCCAAGCTAGCTGGGTATGTGGAGGCAGTGTTACACATCTTTTACCAGAGCACTCTCTTCTATTACTGTACATTGATTTGCAGCATTTCCAGGAAGGCACAAGTAGTATCAATTCTCCTTCTTTTGCAACCCTCAAAATGTAAGATCAGGCTGGTTGAATCACTGGCTTTGTTCTGTAATGGTCTTTGGGCTCCATAATCACCATGGGCATATAGATGGTGACCCTACTCCAAGGACATCAGGCACATCATGGAGGTGTCCTGTCTGATCTGGTTCTCTGGATGTGAACTGTGACTTTTTATAGAGTTCCCTCAATCCTTTGGAGGTGCCAGACACCTAGAGTACACTATCCTGCAGGCTGTAGATGGGAGTCAGCAAGAGGAAGTGTAGAATGAAAACTGAATGGAGAATGTACAAATCTATATGCATATACTAGTCACATCCACTTGCATCTTCTGAAGTCAGCCCTAGTCACTAGGTTACACACACAACCAAGTGCCATGCATCTGAATAGTGTCCTGGTATCGGATTCAACATCTAGAACTCCATTATTTACAAAGTAAGTGAAAGGGAAAATGCTTATATTGGTCTAAAACAATTTTTTTCAAGGTTTAATGGTAATTCAATTTTGCTTCGATAAGTCTGTTTTGCTATTGCACTACAATATATTATACATTCCCTGATGCAGAAACTCTGCATAACTTTGGGAAATAAATTATATACCTAATTCAAAAGATTAAACATACCAGAAGTATTGGGGAAAGTTTTCTTTTAAATTAAAAAAAAAAAAGTACAGATAGTCCCCGACTTACGAACGAGTTACATACCAAGCAGTTGGTCATGACTCGATCTGTTCGTAAGTCGGACCCCATTCATTTACATGTGACCGTGCTGTTCATAAGTGTGGATTGCGTTTGTAACTCAGGGATGTGCTTAATGGGAAATTGGTCGTAAGGACAAACAGTCGTAAATCGATGCATTCGTAACCCGGGTACTACATGTAATTGCATTCTATAAAACAATTCGTTTAGATGGTGATAAGTTTTGAAGGCCTTTGTTTAATTACAAGCACAAGGTTCCTTTCGGTTGGGTCTGTTTAAGGTAAGAGTAAGCAGCTGCCATTCAAGGGGTGCAGCTAAAAAATAAAGAAAAAGAGAGATTAAGAAAGGGAAAATTTAGCTGTCCAAGAAAGTTTCCTAAATGAGCTCTTGGACTCTGGTGGAACTCTGCCTGCTTAAATCTATTGAAACCACACTGAATATACTGTATGTGGCCTTAAAAGGATTATATTTTTATTTTTAAATGTTGATTTCACCATTTACACACAACAACAACAGAACTTCCATTGATAACTAAAATTTATGGATGGGCAACATTGAAAAATGCTGCTCAAGAATGTATTAGTTTTATTTAAGGTAATTTACTTCATATGTTGACACTTAGGGTGTGTCTACAGTGCGGCTATTTTGGGATATCAGAAGTATCCCGAAATAGCTAATGCATCTTAATAAGCCTCCCATTATTTTGAAATATTTTTTCGAAATAACGGGCACGCTATTTCAGCATCCCAGTAACCCTCATTCTTCGAGGGTTATGGGATATCTCGAAATTGTGCATTATTTTGAAATTTGGTGATATGTAGGCACGCCAAATTTCAAAATAAGCTATTTCTAAATAGAATCAAAATAAGATACGCAATTTGCATAGTGTAAATCGCATATTTTATTTCGAGTTTAGGGTGCTGTGTAGACACACCCTTAATGTTGACAGTTTGTTTTAATAGCTATGGTGCTTTAAACTTACTGGTTCTCAACATCTACTATCATTAAATAACTGTCTAATCTCTTCTATGACCCACATAATTTTGCACAATTTTGAAAATGTATAGCAATAAAACCCTTTAAAAATAAAAACTGGCATTATCCATGGAAATTATAAAAATAAAATCAAAATCTGAATTCTGTCAAGCCTAATTATAGGGAATGATCCACCTCTGCAGGAGGATAAGTCTGATGTAATAGTACTTTTCCATCACTTTGCTAATGAAGATGGGGATCTGATCAAAGTCCTGACTTTTTAGAAAACTACTTTTTTAAAATAAGTAAACTTTGACTAACAGCAGAGAGTGCTAAGAGGACTGATCTACTGTGAGTGAGAATGGAAAGTGACACAGGAGATTTGTTCTGTGTCTGGGTAATGTTTTACTCCATACTTTTCCAGTATTGTTCAGAATTTTAGTAATCCTATTTTCTTAATCTAAAAAAACCCAACAACCTGACACCAGTCCTTGCCAATGCAGCAGTGTGTGATCAGCACTACCAAAGTAATCCAAGATTTCTTTCCCTGAAATAAATGTTTCCTTAAGTGTAAACACGCCACAGTGAACAGTTACTTTTCAAAGGAGCAAATATAAACTGAGGGAAGAAAACCATGTGCTTGGTGTGTGAGATTTTAAAGTCCTATATTTTATATCTTGGTCTGCCCCTTTGGCATCTAAATTACACCAATTCACACTCAGACTCTTCAAAGTCTTGGATAGGCTAGGATTAAAAGATGTGATGATAAAATGTTCTAGCAAACATGTAGCATGTTGAGTATAAACAAGGTAGGGTGTGCTTTAAACTGGCATGCTGAGTTAAAGCCTAAACTCCCGTTTGAGTCCATCTCTGAGCTAACGCATGTTAAAATTAAATTTGCCCAATTTAAACTTTCCAAATCTTTTTAGCTAATGAACCTTTTACTGTAGTCTAGATCAGGGCTACTCAACTTTGGAAGCCCCGGGTGCCACAATGTTACTCTCTGGACATGCCAAGGGCCGTAACATAAGTGTGTTTGCATATACATGCAAATATATATGCAATAACTTTTCACACTGATGGCCTTGAATACAAAGATTAAGGCAAGAGTACACAACATGCAGGCCCCATTTAAGTGGGAACTGCTGATATTAATAAAATGCAATATTTACCTGATTTCCACCCATTTGACAGCACTTTCAATGATCAATGAGGATCCAGGAATTTAACTACTAAAACGCACATCAACAGAAGACCATTATATCGACTACTTTTTTGTTTTGGCTCCCACCCACGGACTGTGTTGAGCCCCACATAAACTCAAACTGCACCATGAGCCACAAACAGGCTGCAGGCCGCATGTGGCCCACGGGCTCTGTGTTGAGTAGTCCTCATCTAGACCAATCTCAGTGAGGGTATGTCTACACTACAAAGTTAGTTCGAACTAACGGACGTTAGTTTGAACTAACTTTAATAGGTGCTACACTAGCGCTCCGCTAGTTCGAATTTAATTTGAACTAGCACTTAGTTCGAACTAGGAAAACCTCATTTTACGAGGATTAAGCCTAGTTCGAACTAGCTAGTTCGAATTAAGGGGTGTGTAGCCCCTTAATTCGAACTAGTGGGAGGCTAGCCCTCCCCAGCTTTCCCTGGTGGCCACTCTGGCCAACACCAGGGAAACTCTACTGCCGCCCCGGACCCCTTAAAGGGGCACGGGCTGGCTACGGTGCCCGTGCCAGGTGCAAGCC